TGATTTTCTGTGTGTGGACCTGAGGATATCAACTCGTTTTAAACGTGTCACCTCGGTTATTACCCCAGTACTAATCATCACAACGAGCGTGACAGCCGCTCCTCGGCTTCTACCGTGAGACAAACTGTTTAAGATAATTATGATACGTGCTGCGATAGTGCAAGATGTTTGATTCAGTATGAGACTTTGTTTGTTTGGCATGTGCGTAGTCTCAGACTCAGTTTGTTGGTTGCTCCCAGAACACGTCTGAAGACGAAAGGGGGCGGAGCCTTTCAGTCTGTGGCACCAAGGCTGTGGAACAGTCTACCTCTACAACTACGTTTGGTGGACTCAGTGGAATCCTTTAAAAAACAGTTAAAAACTTTACTGTTTAAACAAGCTTTCTGTTGACCAATGCTTTTTACATTTTTATATTTTAATTTACATTTAAACTCTATATTGTGTATATTGTGCATTTTGCTATTTATCGTACTGTTTATTTTAATCTCTGTGTGCAGCGCTTTGTGACTACCTGTCTATGAAAAGCGCTTAATAAATAAACTTTACTTACTTACTAGTAGTCCCCACGGAGACCCAGATGTGTACTCAGACTGGTCAAAAAGTTGAGTGTAGAGAAACTTCTAGCAAACACTCACCAACCGTTCAGGTTATACACATTTTTCAACCTGTGGTTGCCATGGTGAAGGGATCAGCCAAAAGAAGAAGCAATCACTGACTGCTAAATATAGCGACAAAGTCGCTAAGTTGGCAACACTGGCTGGGCCTCCTGAAACTGCCCTTATGTGGGTGTGGTATTTTCTCTCCGCCTCTTCCTCTCTTGCTCCACCCCTCTGTCTCTCTCTCTCACTCTCCTCTCTCCCCAGGACACAGCTGCTCTCGATTAGCCTCGTTTGCCACCTGAATCCAGTCAGCAATCACCTCTGAGGCTAGTTAAGCTGGGGACGAGCAGGGTGGTTTTTCTCTGGTGTTCCCACATTGGGTGTCGAAGTTGTCGGGAGAGCTCCTGTAGTGTGGAAGCAGTGTAACTGCTTCACGTGAGGCTTGTGGGCCTCGGCAGCATTAAAGCTAGCTGCTGCTAGTAACAGGGTGAGCTTGTGGGCCCCTGGAAGTGCCTCCTCGTGGTGTGGAGTTTTTGTTTGGTTGTTGTGTTCCGTGTTGTTGCAACCTTTTTCCAAGTGTTATCGGTAAAACGGCGTTGCCGGCTCTTTATGTTAAGATTATCTATAATATCCTTTTATTTACTAAGAACACCGGTCTGTTCTCCTTTCATTCTGTTCTGGACTCATTTGTTACTGGTCCCCTCACTCGTATGCCTAGACCCCTTCGGGGATGCTGAACTAATGATATGTTATTCATTGTCGTTATTCGTGTCTTTTATTTACATTCAAACACTATACCAAAATTAGATCCAGGCTTTTATTTTTCAAAATAAGTGACTAATGTTTTCTTTTCCATTTTTTTTTTTTTTTAAATTTCTCTTTTGTAAAACTGAAACATGGCTCTTAAAAGCCATAACTCCACAAATATGTTGTAACTTGACTGATAATGGGGAGAAGCCAGCCTATCAATGTGACACAAATTGAAAATATTTTAAAATTAATAATTGCGAGATGGTTTATTGGCACCCTAGCATAAAAATAAATAGACATTTCTGCATCATATAACTCTATCATCTTTATTCACTGCTGAATCTTCTTTTGTATGCACAGCAAACCATGCTTAATCTTTGGTCAGGTGATTGGCAGGAATGATGAGGTCAGAGGTCATCGTGGTCGCCCGTGTGCTTGTTAAAGTTTGCTCATTTTAACAAAGAACAAAGGCTGTCGAGTGAAATGCTGACGAACCCGCATTAATAATTACAGGAATTGCTCATCTTTTTGTAAACAGAATGAATGAGGTTCATTAGAATTTACGTGATTAAAAATGTTTTACGGAGCCGAAGAGAGGCAGAAGAAATAGTCCCTCGGTGTAAACAGAACGGGGAGAAGTGTCCACCGGC